GGCTAAGCATGTTTGATAATGGGATTTGGACCCATGATATGGCATATTTTGAGTTGAATGCCCTAAAAACTAGGCCATGACAAGTTTTCTAAATGTTAATATGTATAAGGGCACATTAGGTAAGAAAGCCCATACAATGACCAGAAGAAAACTGCAGTTTCATGCATTATAAACTCTTATTAGCTCTGATAGGGCTGTGATAGAGATTACCACTATATGTAGTTTTATAAGACTTTAGAAAACAATCTACTCTAGTTGCTTATTATTTTTTTAAAGTCATTTATTATGTCATAAATCAACTTAGTATTTTAATGTATATATTTCAAAATTGAAAGAATGTTGAGTGTATGTTAACTGTATAAAACATCCAGAAATAACAAACATGTATGTAATTTCTGAACACAAGTAAAATAAATTGTGTAATTGAATTTTTGAAACTATATCATGTGATTCGTATATGGAATTGCGTATGTATACACATGCAAACTACATTATTAGTTCTATAGTTAGTCTTAAAGTTAATTGTTAAAAGTTTTGATGAAATACTGCATTAAAACTGACTAAATAACTGTAGGCCTAGACCTATTACTAATAGTATACAATAAAATGACATATCACAGTTAAATCAGATTTAGGTTTACAGTGAATGTACTTGTATGTAGATAAGTCGGTTGAGGTTAGAGGACTTGAGAATAATATAAAAGTTGAAGACAGATCATATAAAGCTTAGAATGACTAGATTGCACTGATTTATCATTTGTACACCCATACTGTTAAAAGAGTTTTCAGCTATAATGACCTTAATTAATGCAAATATGGATTTCTTAATAAGCAGAGGCATCACTAGGCACTGGCACACGTTGTCCGTGCCCCAATTCTATTTGACAGTGCCCTGAATCCTCAGTTGGTGTCTTGAAAAATCAGAATAGAAAAACCATGATTGATACCCTACTGAAATGTTGAAAATTCCCATGCCTATGGGTCTGAGCCCCAAATCTTTTAAGTACCTAGTGATGCATCTGCTAATAATTGAGTTTTATGTTAAGTCAATAAAAAAATCATAAAAGAAATAAATGATATACATTTAATTCAATGAATGGTTTTAGTATTAAGTAAGTGAACTCTAAAATTGTCTTGCGATAATGTTATTTGATTGTTTTTCTAGAAGTACTTTATAATAAAAAAAACATTTTATTTAATATATTCCATATTCTACAAACAGATAAACCCGAGATCAAAGAAGTGATTCCTAATGGAAATGTGTTGACTGAACTCTATAGTTCTCAAGAGCTGAATTGCCAAGCTGAAGGAAATCCTGCTCCCGAGTAAGTAGTGTGGTATAGTTTAAAAAAAAAGTTGAAATATTACTGAGAAAAAATGTTATTTCTTTTTTTTGCCAATGTGTGCTCTTGAGATACGTTTTGAATGTTTGTCACCTTCAGTTAATAACAAAAAGATATATTTAAAAATGTATTGCAAGTTTACACATTCATATACTGAATTAAACTTTTTAATACTTACAAAATTAGACTTATGTGTATGTTTATTGTCATGATTAGTAGCCTGTTATTATTTGTTCACCAACTTACTAACAGTATTTTTTGTTTTTGTAATTACTGTATGTCAATATAAACTGGTTTGTATCAAATGTTATCATCTTCAAGGAAATCCCAAGAAGGAATATTTTTTTGGTAGCAGTTGCTAAGATTCGATCCTGGATCTTCTTGGTAGAGAAGCTGGTATTCCATACATTCGTTTGGTCTTTCCCATTTAGATTTTTATCAATGAACTTATTTTAATGCTTTGCATATGGTTAACAAAGTTTTGCTGACTTCTGTGTTAGGTTGCCTGAATGTGGTATTAGATAAGTAGATGTAGAAGGCTTTTTTTTACATATTGTTTCCTTGTGTGTGTGTGACTCATATCTAATTAATGTATTTTATTCTAGTTTATTGTACAGTATTCTTATGCATGTTGGGATTTAAGCTGGTTAAGAAAAATATATGCATATATGGTTTTAAGATTAAAAAAGTAATTTTTTTCAATTTCATGGATTTCATAGTTAAGATTTGTGTGTGTATATATATATATATATGTATATTGAAATTTGGACAAAGAAGAACACTTCTATTTTTTTTATTTTAATTTTAATAAAGCTAAAAATAATATGATGGATTGATTATATTAAAGTATTTTGTGTGTGATTCAAAACTACTCAGATAACACAGATAACAAGAGATCCTGTTATGCAGAAGAGCTTTGGCTAATTGTCTTCAGTGAAAGTTTTTGATTTTGTTTTTCCTTTTGGTTCCAACCTTTGTAAAGAGCTTGTCTTTGTCAAAGATACAAAATGGAGTGGTTTTTATCATATTCATATTCACTGCACAAAAATTGAGAGTGAGAAACATTCTCATATTAGCGTATTAATCTGTTACAGGTACTCTTGGCTTCAAAAGAAACCTGGTGAAACGAATGTATGGCAGGAACAGGGAAAAGGTGCAACTTTTAAAATAGAAAACGTTACTTATGACTTTCAAGGTCGGTACATTTGTGAGGCAAAAAACTACATCAATGGAATAGAACATAAAGTTCAGTCTGAAGAGATCAAATTAGATGTTACTGGTGAGTTGCACTGTGTCGTTCTTTATTACTCATACTGTAGTCTGTGTGTTTATATGTGTGTGTATAAAAGATTTCTTGTAAATGGCTTTGATATTGTTGCCGAATACTTTAGTCTGTTACTATAATAATAATACAAAAACTGAATTAGATAACACAGAAATATTGAATATTATATATATCACTAAAAGCTAATTCTACAGTACTTTCACATTAAGTGGATTATGTATATAATTATAATCTATATTATGATATTACTTAAGTTTGAAAGAAATTAATTAGTCAAACAGAATATCAGAGTATACACACATATATAATGGTAGTGTAAACAAAATCTTGCATTGCTCTTGCCATTTCCATATTCACATACTATTCCTACCAGATTTTCTGCATAACCAAAGAAGTGTTCATTAAATAAAATATGTTTAAAAGATATGTAAAAAAAACAACTTTAAACATAAGGATTTGTGGCAACAGTATGAAGTTATTAATACTTAAAGAGAAAGATCTTTGTGTAACTCAAAATGAAACTTCAAAAGATGTTTATTTACATATATTGCAAACATGGTATGTTTTTCTGCTATATTCAGTGAGTACTGATAACATGAAGAATCATTAGTATGTGAAGTATATTTACTGTTGACATACAAATGTATTTCTAAAAAGAAAAATTATATATATATATATTGTGTTTCTTATATTTTCATGTCTTTACTGGTTGTAGATCATTTCGGGGTTGTATGTTATTCAAACTTAAATTGTTATTATTTGTAAGGTGCGTTTATTTTAAAAGCTGGAAAATGCTGCATGTTTAGGAAGTCCTCAAGTCATTATGGGTATGACTACCACAAAAGATGAAGTAGTTGTGAAGAAAAATGAGGATGCTACAATTAGTGCTGTGTTTTGTGCTGATCCAAAACCCAAACAGGTGTTCTGGGAGTGGGGCAGTCTGAAGCTAGAAACAGGATCAAAACTTGCACGTTATGCTGCCATAGCACTTGTGCCTGTAAGTATACATTTTTCATAAATATAATGTGTTCAGTTTACTTTAATATGTATTTAAAGTTTCACACATGCTTCGGTCTCAGCACTGCTTTGCTCACTTTCTAGAACCTCAGATATACAGGGTGTACCAAAAGTATTCATCCAAAACTGAAACACCAAAAAATAAAAACTGTGAATGCAAAAGTATATCTCAGTAGTAAGTCTGTCATAACCAAGTAGCAGGTCATTAACATCAACAACAGTGTGGAACCCATGCAGAGAAAGTGAAGTGTGTGTGTGTGATTTGTACTTTTTCAGCCATGTTTGAAAAAGGAAGTTTCCTATTGCTACGAACTCTGCCATACTTACAGTATTGGATATGTGAAAATTTTGGCTTCATTACTCTCATTTTTTTTTATTTAACTCTATTTTATTTTTGAATGAATGATTTTGGCATGTCTTGTATACTTATAGTACATTATGTTTACTATGTTTGCTAGAATAAAAAATATCAGTGCTTTATGAAGTAAATTAATAATTGTAGGTCACTGACTAAACAAAAAGTATGTGTATCTTGACGAGTAGTTTTGCTTTAGAACAAATATTATAACTGTTTAAAAGGATCAGAAGATAGAGGTACCAGAAAAAGAAAAGTATTGGTTAGATGTATTTAACAAATGCAGTGCATGCTTGCAATTATTATGTCATGGGCAACAGAAGTTTATAAGTTGAGTTATTTAGAAAAAGAAACTTTATTAAAAATCCTTTATTTTACACTAAGCTAAATAATTAAATATTAATACCAGGATTCATTGAAAAAAATAAGTATTTATTTAGGCTTTGACAAGTAAAGCAAAATATATTGAAACTTTTGTGCTGTAAAGCACAGGATAAGTACCTCATTTCAGATTTATATACTCTTATAACGTGCAATAACTAGCTTATATACTTAATACTCTATTAGAAAAACCTGAAATTGTAAAGAAAAATATGTAAATCAAATAACATCAACACATCTGGATGGACATAAAGGTATTGTACTTGAGTTGCTGTTTTGCTAAGAATCTTTTTCTTAAAATTTTGTGCAAGTCAGTGAGATATCCTCCACCAAAGAGCTATATATATATGTGGTAAAATTTGCAATAAACCTTTTACTGGACTTTAGAACTCATTCACATTATGGGTTGACATTATACCTCAAAATACATATCACAGTATTTTTTATGACAGTATTTAATAAATATCATCATAACAGTATCATTTTTGAAGATTGGTTTAATATGGTGTAATAAATTATCTTTCTTAAGTTTGTTTCAGCATTCTTGCTTTGATACTGGAAAACAAGAAAAATAAACCCAGTGAGAGTCACTACACTGACTTTTCATTAACAAAACTAAAGTAAAAAAAAATCAACTTTGTGTCATACTCACAAGATCTTTTGCAAAAACACAACAATCTTGTCAATTTATGTTTACCAGTGTAATGACTGAAATAGTCATGAATTTCACCCTTCCTTTATTACTTCATAATATATCTTTATTCAGATATATTCAGGTACATTTTCCATAACTTTTGTGTAGTTGTTCTGCATGTACCATGACATTCTTCTTAACCAAGGATTGAAAAATTGTACACATGCACTAACTCTTTTACTCAAGTAGAATATACGTTTGCCAATGGCTATAAACTCGTACCATTTTGGCTTTGTGTCTAACTTCCCTTGAGTGGCCTAATTCATATTTTTTATATATTGACAGTAATTCCATTAAGTTACATGTTTTTTTGCTTAGTCAGTTTATCCTGTTTTTATTGTATTAGCTTGCAGTGTGTGCAAATATTCTGCTTTATTTTTCTGAGATCACATGGAATTTTGAATTTTTGTAGCAGCTTATTTTAGCTGAATAACCCATGTTGTACATTTTGTTACTGTTGATCAATTATCATTACTTAGTAATCTTGGTGCATGAATACTGTATTTCAAACTTTCTTCCTTTTGGTTTGCTTCAAGTAAGTTTTTAAATTTCATGCTGTACACTATTATACTCAGTCTTTTCAATGATGTTCCTAACTAAAGCTGCTGTTTCCTTGAGTTTTTTTAGATAAAAGTTTAGGCCCTTGTTTATATACTAGTTTTCTGAGTTAATTGCCAAATTTAGTGTTTAATAGGAATTTTCATTAATATCTCATGTTCATGGCTTAATTTCTGTGGCTTTTTCCACCTTGACCTGATATTTGAAAGTTGGCTGAATTTTTTTTTTAATTGAATTTGGATGAGCCTGAATCATTGTCCACTTTCATTATGAATCAATTACTTTAATGTCACAGGCTCTTCTGAATTTTTTTGTGCTCAGCTGGTCTACCAGCAAGACTGTCAAGAAAGAAACCTCTCCTCACCAAGAGAATGAGAAAGATGAGGCTTGACTGAGCCAAAGAGCTTGCTGACTGTACTAAAGTCATGTGGAACAAAGTGACCTTCTCAGTAGAATCAAAGTTCAACCAGCATGGGTCTGATGGGAAGCACTTTATATAATCTCAAGTGGAGAAGAATTTTATCCAGCATATTTGAATGGAACTGTGAAACATCTGCAGGGTCAGGTGATATAGGGATGCATCTTTGGTCAGGGTGTTAGATGCTTGTGTTTTGTGAAATACATTGTTAGTGCCAACAATTCAGGATCACTCTGCTCCATGCCACAGGCCAAAAATGTTGGTAATATTCATGCACTTTATGCAGTAGATGTGAAATAAAGAGGTGATGTCAAGCTCTTATCAAGGATGGAGGGGGCACAATAAATTATTAAAATAAGAAACAGATTCTGTGAGGGAATTCCACTCTAAATGTTTTGAAAAGACATCTTAGGTTTTATTTCACTGCTTCAACCCTATCACAGCTGGAAGATAACGAGTAACAAAGTGCAAGAGAAGAAATCGAGAAGCATCTTGGAAATGCAGAAAACCTTAATCTGCAAGTGGCATCATCAACTTATCCCTGCTTACATTCAGTTCTTCATGCATTTATGCCATGGTGATGTCAAGCTATTATCAAGGACAGAGGGGGCACAATAAAATTATAAAAATAAGAAACAGATTCTGTGACCACTTTTTGTCAATTACACTAGTGGCATTATCTTTATGTCTAGGTTTTCTTACTCAGAAAACATTTTCATATTTGCCAAGTATTTGTGGATTATCTGCTGTAATACATTTTTCACAATTAGTTTGTTGATAAAGATGTATATATGTGTGTGTGTGTGTTTGGAGAAATTAGCTTACTCTACAAAATGTCCGTCACCATTTTATATTAGTTCAGACACTTCCACAATGCACTATCTTGTAAAATAAGAAATTACTGGAACCAAGAAAAGTGTGAAAAAATTTGGTGACATAATAATTTTTTCCACCACTGTAAGTCTACTTAATTTGAATTTTAGACTTTTTAGTATTAAAATAAATTTCAAACAGATTCTTATTCCTGAAATACCCTTTACTTCTCCTCAATTTGGTGATTTGTGGTTTTCATCATGACTGCAACTTATAAACTTTAATTATAGTGGGAAAGCAGAGCTTATGTAAGCTTTTCTGATGCATGTGCAACCCCACTAAGAAGGCAGGAAGGCCAAGGATATTTTTTTGGGGCTGACTGCCCATCAGGGGATCCATGAAAGTAGCAGAAAAATGTGTACATAATGTATCAACTGCACTTTCAATCACTTATACATCATTGCAGCTTTATTTCAAAAACTAGGAGTGGACACATACAAGTTCTTCCATTAGGTCCATAATGGCTTTTGGCAGCCCTATGTATGTCCAATAAGTCATGTGGAAAGTGGGAGAATGGAGACTTATAGATAAGATGCCACATGTTTTGCTTTATGTCAAAGAAATTTAGAACTTTGAGTCACATAGTTGTTAACAGCATGTGAACATTTCAACAAGGGAAGGTTATTAGTATTTTAGAGGTAAGTGCTTGTTTGAAGTTAATTTTAATCCTATAATTACAAAAATTTCACAGAATTAAGAATCAGACATGTGAATGGGAGGCCGTAAATTAAGCATTCTAACACACCCACTAATCAAGAAAATATTTGTAGAAACATCAGTCATTACCTACTTAGTCCACATCATAACCTAATTCAACAGTCCTTGGTACATTAAGGTATATGAGTGAATATCTACAGCAGAAATGTAGCTGAAGTATACATATGAAGGACTAAAGGAAACTAACCAATACTCTATAGCTAGAAATGCTGTGAACACAAATGATTTTTGTCTCAAGTCTAACACTACTGTAGAATCCTCATACTAACCAGAAAAGATGAGAGAATGGAACAGCTAAGGATGCTGTAGAATGATATTTATAGTTCTATGGCACCTAAGAAAGATCTCAGACATGATCTTAACCAACTGAAGATGCCCGGCATGGCCAGGCGGATAAGGCGCTCGACTCGCAATCTGAGGGTCGCGGGTTCGAATCCCCGTCACACCAAACATGCTCGCCCTTTCAGCTGTGGGGGCGCTATAATGTGACGGTCAATCCCACTATTCGTTGGTAAAAGAATAGCCCAAGAGCTGGCGGTGGGTGGTGATGACTAGCTGCCTTCCCTCTAGTCTTACACTGCTAAATTAGGAATGGCTAGCGCAGATAGCCCTCGTGTAGCTTTGCGCGAAATTAAAAACAAACAAACAAACAAACAAAAACAACTGAAGATACTCTTCTTGTGAAAGAAGGCATAATCATAAATTATAATAAAGGAAAACTGGCTAACCATAATTTAAGGATATATCTTAAACATGAACATTCATTCTATTGGGAAGAACAGAATGTTAACCTCCCAGATTTAAGAAATTAGTAAATCAGGACTGCTGAATCTTTTTTTTTTTTGAATGAGTGTCCCTCACATAAGCAGACTGTTGTGACAAAGATTTTAGGCCTCCTGCAAGGTATTTTTTAATTGTAGGCTCATTTCAATACATATATTTGGCACAAAAGTGGGAAACATATCTATTTAGAAAGTACAATTTTTTGTTCGCATGGTTTTTAGTTTGTTTTAAACTGTGACAATTTACTTTTTACCTAATGCTATTACTAATTAATTGACAACTTTCTGGAAATTCAACCATCTTGCACTATCTGTCTTGATGGATAGCATGGCCAACCTTATAAGACACTCATGAGAAATACACAATCTCAGATGAACTTAATTAATTCTGTTTTGGAAAACTCTTTTAAGGAGATGCAGTAGCCACTTGAGCTGTAAATAGCAACCTGAGAGCAATAAACATGTTAGGATATACTGCTGCTAAATCATTTTTCTAAATATAATGTTGTGTTCCCATGACATCATACGTCCCTAGGAGAATTGTAGCTAGGCTTAAGCAATTCTGTCAACAAGTTCGATTTTCTCTAGTATTACAGCTAAGTCCATGCATTCTTGTACTATTTCATTGTGTTCTATTTTTTGAGTTGCTTTAATGTCATAGTGGGATCTAAAACTTGATGTGTAATTATGGAACAATTCAAATCTATCCCTCAGTTTCATTAATACATACTACACTACATTGTTAATACATTTAGTTTTGAATTATTTTTGTGTAAATTTCTAACAAGGCGCTTCTTTTGTCTAGCTGATAGTAATTATTTTAGTTTTCTGTTGTTTAGTTTTCAAAGTGCATGTATGGATGTTAGATGAGCAAACTAACTATCCTGACCCTGTATGTCATGGTCTAGCTTCATTATGTTACACATAAAATATTACAACAAACAGTGCTATTAAAGAGAAACAGATTATTATGTGTAATTTATTTCTTTTTTATTTTTAAATGTTTGAAAAATATTTTCTAAACCTTATAAAAATTACAGGTGAGACAGTGGGATGACTGCTATGAAGCTAAACTTTTTATACAAAATGTTGAAAAAAGTGATTCAAGGAAGTATGTTCTCCATATTGAAAATACGAACGGACAAGAAACATATGCTGTCACATTGTCAGTTAAAGGTGAGGAAATTAAACAGCCCCCCCCCCCAAACAAAACAATATAGAAATTTTTACCATGTAATGAAGCAGTCTTAACATGTACCAGTAGTGCAATTTAAAGCAGTATTGATGTTGAAGTGGACAAGGTTTGAGTGGGGTCTTGAGCAGTGTCACATGTAATATATTCTGCCAGTGTGTATTGTAATGGTGTGCAATTTTATTGTATATTTTAGAACATTATGCTCAGATTTAACCACATTACACTTTAATATGTATTTTCTATAAATTGTTTATAAAGTAGTTTTTTTATCTTGCATAGCAAACTCTGAAGTGGATACATCATGATTTATGAAGATAATTTTAAAAACTACTGCAAAAAAGTGTAGTAGAAAGGCCCTCAAGAAAGAAATGCTAAGATATTTTTTTTGAAACTTAACTAGGGACTGATGATTTAATGGCGACATTAGAAAATTCATTTTACAAGTAAAATTAACACTAACTTTAATGTTCACATTACAATGAACTATAAACCTTATTTATATGCATTATAAAATTTACCTGTAAGAGAGAGAGACTGTTGTTAAATCTTTAATTTTATGCAAATCGTGTAAAATTATACTGTTTTAGTACAGTTTTGAAAAGGCATGAAAGTGATAGTAAATAGCCACATCAATATGATTATTATAATGCTCATTATAAAAAGCAAAAACATAAAGAAATTCAATTCACTTTACAAAGTTTCGCTCATTACTATGAAAAAAGAACTATTTAAAGAACTAAAAAACATTTACTAATTGAGCTCCAGGTTTGATACATTTTTAACATTTATTATGATGTTCCTTAAACCTTTCTTCATTAATTGGTTGTGTGACCATTAACTTAAGAGACATAATTAAACTACATGATAAATAATAATTATGCCATAAACAATTAATATTTTGTAATAAAACATGTCATGATTTTTGTTTAAGAAGTCAAGAAAGAATTGTAGTTTACTGAATCAAATGAAAAACTTTAAACCATACATCACATAATGATCTAAGTAAATCCCATAGTTTTATATAATTTATCCTGAATGTCTAAAGGCCATGTACAATTCTAGAGAATTTAGTATGTTATTTTTAACTTGTTTTGTTTTATTAATGTTAGATACAATTTAGAAATTCTAGCCTTTTGCTTCTAGTTTTTACCAATTTTAGTGATACTAAACTTAAAAATACTCTTGAGGCACAACACAGAAGAAATGAATACTAATGTATTCATTAAATTTTTCAGAATATGTACATTTTATTTTCAGCTAAATCCTACAGTAAATGTAACAGTTGAAACGTTGAGTAATCTCTCAGATTTAAACAATAATTCAACTTGTTTTAGTATGAACAACTTGCTGGCAAGTTGTGATTATAATGTTATATTGATCATAAAACAATGTTATTAAGCTTGTTTCATTATTTGGCCCCTTACGCTTTTTCTGAGAAGAGAAGCATAAAAAAAATGTTTCAGTACTATATCTGCCATATCCATACACTGATCTGTTGTTTTACTTGCATTGATTTTGTCTTAGTCAAGTACTTTTATCTAACTGAAGTGTGGATTTACTTTGAGTTTTAAGAAGATTTGCAAAAATAAGAAAAGCAGTTTCTGCATCATTTATAGTCAACCAAATGCAAATTTATGGGTATACAATGTATATGCCTGACCATGTTTTTTTTTTAATATTTTCTTTCATTTTTGGTAGAAGAATAAAAAAATGAAATCTGTTTATCTTCAAAAATTTGATCATATGGTTAGTTGGTTTGCAAGCATATTTTGTATGGATAACTAATAGTGTTGAGGTCATGGATGTTTTAGCTTACCACACCTTTCAAACACTTATACAGTGTAAGACTACTGTTCAGTTTTTGTTTAAAAGTCATGTGAGTAGTTACAAAAGTATACAGGTATAGTATAAGTAAACTATTAAAATTGTAATATGTGGTTCAGTTACCTATATGTTCCTATCAAAATTTTCCTTTCATATCTTACAGAACCTGTGGCCTTGTCTATGGTGATAGGTGTAGCAGTGGGCTGTGCTGCCTTTTTGGTGGTCTTAATTCTAATTGGTATATACATCATCATCAAAAAAAAGAAATATTTATTCAAAAGTAAGATATGAAGTAAAATTCTAAACATCATGTTTTTTCATGTGCATTACAGGTTTTTGATGTTTTTATACTATATATGTAAAGTATAGCATCCTTACCCATAATTGATGTTATTAGAGGCAATAAAAGTTTTCAGAAACTGAAGAATTATTAGTAAAAACAGTTATTTCCAATATGGTACATCCCTCTTAGCTATTCTCGTCCAGTGCTGCCCTCTATATGCAAACCTTTTCTTTATGTATGCCACAAGTCTTCTTTTCCCCCCTATTGGAATCGAATGATCCCAACATGTCTCTCAAGTAAATCATCATGCATCACTTCACCACCAATAGGAGTTTGACATATGTGACGTAATGTGACTCCCCCTATATGCCTCTACAGAACTATTACTTCTCGTTTGTCAATGCTTGTGCTCAGACGTGTTCCTTTTTGTTTGTTTAAAGTTTCACGTTCGTCTTTAATATACTCCCGAAGTAGTCTTCATTTATTTTCACTTTTAATTTCTATTAAGACTGTTTCTTAACTTCATATTAAACCCAGTTTATTACAGTCCCATTGTTATTTATGCTTTTGATTATTGGTTGACTCTTTCTCATCATGAATTTCAAAATTCATGTTACCACTTTGGGGGGTTATACCTGCAACTAGCGCTATGTCTCAGGCCTCAGGTGTGGGCGACCTGGTGGAGAATTTCTCCACGTTTATTTGCCGGGAGATGGAATGTTATATGGGTCAGCCTCTGTCTCTGGACCTTGCCTCACTTCCTCCCAAACAAGCTGCGTCTGTTCAGACAGATGAACATTTGGATTGCCTATTTCCACCTCCTGATTTTGGCATGCCTTCCCATGCCCTGCCTGAGGAGTCAGTATGGCTGACCCATGCTCAATTTTCCCGCCTTCGTCTTACCCTCACAACTCTTTTACAGTATCTCGTGATAGGAGTTTAACCTGCATCCGCTTACCATCATCCTATCTTCGAGACTTATGTATGGCCCCATTTGTGTGGTGATACGTCTTTGACACAATCTCCGAGTCTTTGGAATCATGAGATGCATCAGTACAACAACAGTCTACTCTTTCCAACTTTGTTGCCTGTTTGTCTCAGTCAGACCCCAATATGGTACCTGTTACCTTTCCCTTCCACCCCCTTCCCAACCCTTACCTGTCCCCTCTTCACATCGTTATCTTTGACAACGCTGGTCACCTCGTCAACAGTATCTGTAACTACCCAGTTCTGGTCTGGTAGGAGCTAGGCTTGCCAATTTTCTTCATTACTGGCATCCTTTCGTCAAGGATTATTGGGTTCTTCAAGTTTTATCAGAAGGATTCATGATCTCGTTTTTTTCACCACCTCCCATTTTCATTCCCTCTGCCTCAGGATCCCATGACCAGTCAGTGTCCATTGGAGGTGGTTCAGGAAATGCTATCTCAGTTAGCCATCAAACCTGTTCTACATCCTTCACCAGACTTTTTGTTGTTTCCAAGAAAACCCGGGGACTGGAGGCCTGTCATCGATTTGTCCCACCTCAGTCGCTTTGTTCAACTGCCCTGTTTTATCATGGAGTCTTTTCTCACTCTAAGGTGGTCGTTTTCTCTGGACTTATGAATAAGCATGATGGATATCACCAATACTTATCTCCACATCCCTATATTACCATAGTCTCGTCCGTATCTTCGGTTCGTCCATAACAGGGTGGTTTATCAACTTCGTGCCCTACACTTCAGGCTTGCTTCCACCCCTTATATTTGCTCACCATCTTCATGCTCTGAGGTTGCGATTCCACCAGTATATGGATGACTGGCTTTTTCTTGCTCATTCCGAACTGGAGTCGGCCAGCCATACTTGTCAGCTCCTTCTAGTGGCTGCTCAGGTGGGCTGATTAATCAAATTGGAGAAGTTGTTTCTCTGACCTACCCAATATCTTGTCCACATGGGTGTCTTTTTTTTGACACTCATCTCAGTCGGGCTCAACCTTCTTCTCTATGACTTAGTTCCATGGAACTATTAGTTTGTCACGCCCTTTTAACTCCCTCACTTTCTGCTCACGAGGTTCTATCCTTTTGGGGATGTGGTCTCTAATGATGTCACTGGTCCCCTTTGGTCGTGCACATATGTGATCCCTTAAGTGGAACCTTGCTCAGAATCCCTTGTCAGCTCCCATTACCCTTCTACCCTGATGGATGATCAGTATTGGTGGTTGGACAAGGCACATACTCAGTGTGATCTTGCTTCCTTCTTCTCATCCAGATTTACATCTTTTCACGGATGCATCCTTTCAGGGCTGGGATGCATGAGTCTATCACCAGTAGGCTTCGGATCATTGGTCTTTAGGTGAAAGATCTTTACATATCCACATCCTCGAGCTTCTTGCATTCCATCAGACTTTGAATCACTTCCTTCTTCTCGCCAGACATTCCGTTGTGCCTTAGCCACTCTACACCTAAGGGCACATCCATTGTTTTACCCACTTTTATACTTTATGGGATTGAATTGCATATATATTTACAATGTTAGGATCCCTATCCTACCTTCATTCTCTTCCACTTGGATGCACTCCTCTCTTTTTTTGCCCTTATCTACTGCACATTTCACGGATGGGCAAAGATGAGGTACGATTCCCCTCATCAGATCTTTGGATCTGACTCTCTCATTTCCAGGGGTATCCTTTGGATGCTTTTGGGGGGTATTTCTGTCATTCCCTCACACAGGTTTTTGCCACCTAATCAATGTGGGATTCTAGCTAATCTTGTGAGTGGAGGGATGTACCGTATCAGAAATTATAATTTTCCAATACTGGATAGGTATTTCTGATAGGTATTTCCCTCCACTCACACTATCCATCCTTCCTCCCCACTTTTATCCGATGTTGTCTTTCGCCAAACCTCAAAGTGATAGTTAGGTAGAGGTGTATAAAGGAAGTCATGTGTCACACTCCTCTTGGTGGAGAAGTGTCCATGATGATTTACATGAGAGACATGTTGGAATCATTCGATTCCAATAGGGGGGAGCAAAAGGCTTGTGACATGCATAAAAAAAAATTACATATTGAGGGCAGCACTCGACGACAATAGCTGATCTTGTAAGTAGAGGGAAGTACCTATCAGAAATACATTTTCAGTATTGGAAAATTATAACTTTCAAATATTCTTTATGACATTACATTTATAAAACCTCTGTGAAAGAATTTTATATCATTTCAAAGCTAGGTGTGTTAATTTAATTTTTGAAAGTTGTTGGCAGGATTTGAAAAATAATTTTCAAAATCAAGTTTAATTAAGAATGGGATTTATTAAATGCCGGTTCGTGTCTTTTGTGTATAATATTTTTAGAATAGGGATTGTGATATATATTTAACTATTAAAAAATGATTGAAAATAAAATCTTTGTTTTCTAGACCACATATCTGTTTACAGATTTTGTTTTTATGTCCTAACTTTCGACACTTTTGAACTTAAAAATATAAGTCACTCATTATCGATGTTAATGTTTATAATAAGTGGGATCAGTTGCTATATATCTTTTAGTTGACCCAAAGATTAAGTGTAACTGTAAGGATTTTCAGAATACCTAATTCATAATAATGCTATGTGTTAAAAGTTATTTACGTGATTTATTTATTATTAGAAAACTTAATTTAAGATATTAGTAGACTGGTTAGTAAAGCTTACTGTAGTGTTTGTACTGTTTGGTATATAATTATTTGTAACATTATATTATTTTTTTATTTTTGACTTATAGAAAAAGTGGGATTGAATCAGAATTTTGAAAGGTAGTTTTTTTATATTTGAACTTGCATAAAAATGCTATTTTTCACCAGATTTATCATTCAAGCTTTAAATTAATCACCTTTGTTAATGAAAGCATTACTTAGCTGTAACTGTAAAAATATATAAATTGAATACAAAATAAATTATTATGGAAATTTTAAGGTTTTGATACAGAACTAAAATATATTTGAAACAGTATAAAAATGTTTAATAATTGGCAAAAAAGTTGTATAATACAAAAGGGGAAAAAACTTATTTTTATGGTGTATTTTGTAACAGTCACACTGAAATAGTTTTTATGAACTTAACCTTGTTTAAATTTTTTCTTCTGAAAATTAGTTTAGATATAAAACACCTCAGTTGCAATTAGCAATACTAGAAAAATAGTAAATTAATAGTAAAAAAAACATAAAATTATTGAAAGATGTGACATTATTTACAACATATACTTATCATTTCAATATATAGAGTTTTAAGAATGTGTAAACCTGATGAGTAGTTAAAAAGTACTTCAAATATTATGATTTTTAATACTTAAGAACCAATAAGTATGCTTACTATTTCTTATCTTTGAAATGGGTAGTCAAAGATCAGATGAGCTAACAGGCAATGGGCAAGCAAGAAATACACCAACGGCTATTCCACCAGATGCTCTCTATAGTGCCCCAGAAAAGCAGTTAAACCAGAAAGAAGAAAACAAGGATGATAATAAACAGTATGAAAACATGAATGTAATTATCAGAATAATTAATATTTATATTGAAAGTGTTCATTCAGTCTAGTGAAGTGATGTTTTTAGGATGACTTAAAGAGAAACTTGGCATTATTAAGGTTAAGTTATAATGGAGGGAATCAAATTTTAATTCTAGATATCACATTTTGATCAAAACTGACGTTTAATTATCAAATATCCAGTCAGTAAGCAGTAAGATAGCAGTGAAAGTAACATATACTTATTAGGATGGTTTTTCTTTAAAATAAAAACAGTGCTCTTATTAAAACATTATTACGAACACTGTATTTGAGCATCAGTAGAATGTCACAGTAGTGTAAATTATCAAAAAAATGATTTGTGTTGAACCAAATAAATTGCCAAATAATGTTATTGTGTCCATTATGATATTTCAAGTTTAAATTGTTTCAATGATAAAATATTCTTAGCTGTCAGTTGATTTAACATATTGTCATACTTAAACGATTAATGGTACATAAAAAAAATGAACTGTTTGTTAGTATGTTGTAACAAATGATATTTGTTCCTTAAGTGGGACATTGATATTAAACATTTAAGTTAGTTGACATGTTCCTTAAATCTTGTTGTAGAAAGGTGCCAATTTTATCAAAGATATCAATGAGAGGAAGAATCATTTTTTTAGTATATGTGGCTTTTAGAGAATTGCAGTTTTGTGGTTGGTTTCAATAATTCTTTGAGAAGGTAAATGTTTTGTTTACCCAGTGAACTCATGAAAGAATTCTTGCTAGCTGAAGCACATTTACTTTTAAACATACATTTCTGAGGGAGTAGGTAGTTGTAAAAACATAGGAAAATTTAAATTCCTAGAATATGGGGTATCTTAAAGGGGGGGGGGGTATTTTAATTAAAATTTGTTTTAAAGTGAAATACTTAATTTTTAGTATTATCAATAAATAAGCAGCAACATTTTTTAATTTACTTTAACTGAGAAAAATTATGATTAACTGATAAGTCTGTTTCCATGAAAGACTTTAGAAGGTTTAGAATTGATATTATTTTCAGAAATGAGATATTTACAGTAGTTAAGAGGTTATTATTATTATTTTATATAACACAGATGGACAAGAATAAAAATGGCTCCAAGGATCATGTAGTGTATGCTGACTTGGATTTTGTTATACCAGCTGAAAAAAATGGAAACAAGATAACTAGAACTCCAGTGGATAAAACAGAATATGCAGAAATACAATTTCCTCCTAAAGCTGGTGACCAGAACAACATTTAGTTATAATAATTTTCAGTTCAATTGCTCGAAGTCTGCGCTTTGTCAGTTTGTTACCACCGTTTACAGTAATTCAAGTATTTCTCATACCAAAATTTTTAAAACCATGTATGTGAATTACATAGTATATTAAGAACAATATATTTGAAGTTTAAGAAACATTTTTGTGGGAAGAATTGTTGAACTAATAATTGAAGGAAGCACTTTAGAAATTAAATTTTTCATAAATATTTTTTTTTTTAATAACTTTTCTGTAAACTTCCCATTTCTTTCCATAAATATGGACAATGATATGGTAATTAATGATACACATTTCTTTTAAATACTGTGATACTTTTTTGTAAATAACTTGATTTTGAATCGTTAGTATATGTCATTATAATAAAGAAAACAATGTCTGTATGATTCTTTGTAATATCATACAGAAATTGCTTGCTTGAAGTTAGCTGCTTTATTGATAAGAAAAATGGTATGTGTGTGTATATACAGTATGGAACTTTATATATCATACTATATATATTGTCGTACTCTTGACTTAATGAAATTAGTTCAACTAGTTCAATTTTTCGAGAATTTGGAAAAACACAGCTGTAGTATGTAACTTTAAGAGCATACATATAGTGTTTGAAGCAAAAAATGTTTTCATTTTTATTGTAGGCTGTCTGGATTCTGCAAATGTTTTATTTCTTAAATAATAATTTTGTGTACTATTAAATCTTTCTATACTGTGCATGAGATAATGAATGATACTGTAATGATATATTTAGCTATGTTAATGTATAAAGAGTTTTACCAATATATTGACTCCAGGCAAATGAGTAAGTGCAACTGTACTAGTGTGGCTATTAATGGAATGTGTTTTGTCAACAGACTCTGTTTTAGCTTTAATTGTCTGGTGATTAATCATTTGCCACACCTGTAACTGTTTTAACATGCTTCATTCCACCATTTACTTGAACATGAGTTTTCCTGCAGTCCTATGTTGCTGTTTGTATATTCCATTTCTGGATGTTGTCCATCTACTGAGTACATGGTTGACCTGGTTGTCACTTTCGTACGACTTTGTCTTGTAGTATAATCTTACTAGTTAGTTCCATTTGGGCAACATATATACCCAAAGAAATCGAACTTGAGACTGACTGTATGCCCAAGGGGCTCTCATTCATTCCAAGTTCCTCAAAGATACTGTCATTTCTTGTAAGTTGAGTTTAGTTGGTGCATTACATTCACTGATAAACATCACATTCCAACAGCCATAATTGTTTTCTTCATCTACCATTTTCAATGTCCATCTTCCAACATAATAGGTTATTACTGTCCATATAAGACTTTTTATGTAGCATATTTTCAGATTTAGTTTGATGATGATGTCTTTCCAGATGTGGATTAAATTTTCCATCCAAATTTCAGCCTTGATGAAACAAGTTTGGAAGTCCATCGACCAATCACCAGTATTTGTTGTGATGGCACCTAGGTATCTGAAGTGAGCTCCATTTTCAATGAATTCACCATCTATAGAGATGGTAGTATTGGTTGGTAGATCTTGTGTTGTCATCAGTTTAGTTTTCTTGACATTTAGTTTTAATTTTCAAGTTTGTAAGATCTTCTACTTCTTAGCTAGAGGCGAAATATGGTCTGTATTGTCAACATAATGAAATTAGGCAACCACCAATGCACATCCATATTGTCAGTTTCTGTTTCTCTCATGATGTTTTCAGTGGAAGTGCTGAACAGCATTACCATTCAACCTTACCACTCCTGTCTGGTCTATGCAGAGGAATTGTACCAAAGTTACCAACTGTTTTAGCCAACCCATCTGAAGTATTATTTCAAGTAATTGTTTTACTCTATAAATATGAAGAAAACCATTAAGTTGATGTAAAAGTGTGGATGCTGCAGAGTGTGTGTCTAGTAACTCTTCCATCTTTATATGCAACCCATTTGTCTGGTTGTTGTTTTTTAGATGATTTTCCAGTAATCTGGCCATATTCAGTTTTTCCAGACTTTTGTACATAATTTATGAAGGAGGGTGGTAGGACCACTGTTCTGGATCGCCTCAGCTGATATGCCAAGTCCTGTAGCCTTTCCTTGTTTGAGTTATTTAAGTGGTTGTTCAACTTCAATTCATCTATACCAAGTTCGGTGATTTTTAATTAATTGAAGGTTATGGGAAAATAGGTCATTTCCATTTTTTGTGAAAGTAAGTGCTAGCATATATACCATAATTATTGTTATTGAAGTTAGTTTGATATTCACTTTGATTACTAGTATCCTGTGAGACACAGGGTTTTAGCTGATTAGGCTTTTGTAAGCCTTTTTTTTTCTTTTTTTTTAAGGATTATGGCTACACTGTTTCTCTCCAATTCTTCACCTCTATAAATAATGGTGCTATTCTCTTCCAACTTGAAATGCCCATCTGACCTCACATGAATGTTTAGATGATGTTCCAGTTCTTTTACAAGATGTAGCTTTTCTAGTTGTTTTATTGAAGTGGTAATGTTTGGTGTGTTTTAGACTGTCTGAGGATATACTCCCATCAGAGCATATTGTGGTTTGGGGAAAGTACTATGATTTTTTCTTATAACTTCTTTTAATTTTTCTGAACTCCATCTCTCAAGTAGTATATATTCAGCAATGATCCTGGAGGAGTCAAAAATTGTTCATGTGCTGGTTGCTCTGTCATGATGCTGCATAGTGTTTTTGGCAAATTATAAAAATGGTTGTTATTATAGATTTAAGTACTAAGTACATTAAATATACTCTACTAAGTACTTCATAGAATGGATGTAGGTTAGAATAATATTCTTACAAAAAACAAAAACTAAAAATTCAGATATACAGAAACTGCTGAATGCAGTTTCATACTTGTTGGGCTTTTTAAATTGCATATTAATTAAAAAAATATTTTAAAAACGGGAAAGAATGAGAAAATTTACAATTTAGTGAAGTTAGTTCATAAATACTATTGATATCTGTCATTTTTGTATGTTGCATTAATATACAGGTAATTTGTAAAATTATTTTTGTTTTGTGTTGAACACTTATCAGTAATGGAACCAAAAGTATTACATTACCAATTTTAATGCGAGTAATCACCATAATGCACATTGTAAAGATTAACGTGAGGCATGCTTTAGGTAGAGAATGACTAATACCTGTTTTGATCTCCATCATTACAGAATTGGTTTTCTAGATATATTTGACATACTGGAGCTTCTGTTATTCAGGTTCCTCTGAAGGAAAAAACATTTTATAGGAGTAGAAAAGTTTTAGTTGTCCAGCCTTGCCCACAAACGTACGTTATAGTATTGTAGGTTAGAATCTAAAGGTTTGATGCGTGTGTGTGGAACCAGTAGTTTGATATGTATCATTCTTTATTGAAAATAAGCTTTGTTTCGTGATTAATATTGCAGATCAATATATTAAATATCCTTATAGTATTAAATTGTGTTTGCTCACAAGTTAATTATCCTGCTATCCAGCTAGATTTTAAGGCAAAAAACACATTTCATCCTTTTATTGTCCACCTCCTCCATTAATATTTTAAGATGCTTTTACATGCAAAATAACTAAGCATACTAATAGGTAGATATTTTTGTGTTAATTAATAGCTTGTGCCATATATTGTGGTGCCTTGCAGAGCTGTAAATATAATTTTTATCACAGATTCAGAGGACTATCAGTTTTTAATGCAAAGAAGGTTTTAATCAACAGTACATTTGAAAAGACTAAGTGAGTGTAAAACTATTTTATAGCCATATACAGGGCCATATTCTTTTAAGTTAATTCCTTCTTTTTATTATTCATTTGGTATTTCTTTTATGTTTTGCTCATTACCTGCAGTATGTAATATATTTTCTTACATTGGGAAATGACCCCCCAGTGGCACGGCGGTATGTCTGCCGCCTTACAACGCTAGAATCCGGGTTTCGATACCCGTGATGCGCAGAGCACAGATAGCCCATTGTGTAGCTTTGTGCTTAATTACAAACAATACATTGGGTAATAGAGCTATACTAAAATTAATTGAGTAATACAGCTTCAAAAATATTATATCATTCAATTTGTTATATAATGTAAAATGCTGCACAGTGCATGTTTATAAGTGAAAAGTTAGCCAGATATTTGTTTTATGTGTACTATTTTAATTTTTTGGAAAAATGGTTTTAAATGTATCAGCTTGGTCCAGGTTCTTTGTGATTTTGCTTAAATTTCAGTATGAACCTAGAGTCTTCAGCTGGACTTGAAATGGTTTTTGTTATCTTATGTAAATTAATATGAGAAAATATGGGACTTCAGTTCTTAACTGTTCATTTTGTTGGTTTTGTTACTTAATATGAAACATTCTAAATAAGTTAAAAGTAAAGGGTTCCATCATTAACAAAAAAATAATAAATGTTGTGTTACTTATTTAAACAAAGCTTCTTTAACTTTCTAGAAGTTTGTTTTGTCATTATGAAATGTGAGCTTTGCTCTGGTAGTTGATAATTGAAATAAGCATCTAAGATTACTTTTGTATTACTATTATACATATATATATTTATCAAGAAACAGTTATATTTTTTGGAAGCTAGATTCAAAGAATTTTTTATTACAAATTCAAATATATTTTTGTATCTCTACAAAAAGCAAATGCCTGTTACCATCATTTTTGATCACAAAATAAGGAATGCTTTATTTAGTCTTGTATCTACTCAAAATAATCTATAAATATCTATTTTTTTTTACCTTAAGCTCACAAAAGCTATTTTTATTGTTAAGTTTCGTGCAAAATTTGTGTATCATTGCAAAAATGTACTTAATAAACAACATTCCACTTTAATACAAAAAAACCCATAAGTATAAAAAAGTGAATCCAATGATTTTAGAAGGAATTGATCTAATAATGACAGTAACATTAATAAAAACGAGATTTAATTTTCTAGAAAATGTATAGTAGTTTGAAGTTATAGCCAAATGTGTGTGTTATTTTACCAATGTAAGGAAAGAATTTTAAATTTCAGTTGAAATATTACTTGGAAATTGTGATATTTTGTGCTTTATTAGTTGTTTACTCTTTACATTAATTAAGTAACAGATGAATGAATCAAGTTTTCTAGTACTTAAATATAAAAACATTAAATTACGCAGTGTATCATGTCCGTGTATAAATTGTTGTCATAAAAAATATTTGTGTTTAAACTTGTGTTTAATGTTTAAGGTGTAAAGTACTGAATTAAATTAAATATAATCTTAACTCCAAGATCCAATTTTGTGTGTTTAAATATTCTTTGTGATATAGAAAGTTTCTTCATTCCACTCCCTTTTTTTAAAAACCTATTATTTGAATTTTTATGTAAAATTGTTCAAATGTATGAGCAACTATGTTGATGTAAGATTCAACTTTAGAAGAAAGTGAATATTTTGATTAAACTTCCCTGACATTTACCCATTCCAAATCTAGCTTAATACAATATGTTATTCAGACTGTGAAATTTGACTTATCCATCAGTTTGCCAGGTTTTCAAATTATTGCTTAATACTGATCTGGTATTCAATTACTAGTGTGCCATATGGTGAAATTCTTGAATATAAATTACTGTAAACGTTAATGTGAATTCGTTTGTTAAGTACATATACGCTATCTTAAGATATTTAATTTGAAAATGTGTTTTTGATATCATTGCACAAAAAAGCATATGTCCTATCATCAATTGAACCTGATATTTTTTCATGTAATGCTAGTATAGAATAAAAATAGCTTGAATGCAATGTGTGTTTTTATATTAAAGAACATATTTAGTCTGTAAAGTGTTTTATAAAACAAATCAATGGTATATAAGTATCTTGGTCCTTCGATTTCTTTTTCTGTGTATTTTGTGCCCCACTCTTCTACAATACTTTTATTAGGGATTAAGTTTTCAGTATTGTCAAAGATGTACCTTAAAGACACTAATGACTAACACATGTAGCTACTAAATGGTGAAAATCTGATATTCAAAAATGTTTCTAAAACTAAAATAGACAAAATACTTATACACAGTTCTTGCTAAATGCATCATTGATGAAGTCTAATTTAATTTTTTGTTGTGCACGAGCCTGGTGTAGCATAATGATTATAGTGTGTCGGGCTGTAAAAGTCCAGAGTTCAAGCCGACATTGGATGGAATTAAAACTGTGACAGATAATCCCACTGTACAGTTTAAGAGTATCTGCATGGGCGGTGGTTACTGCTGACCGGTTGTCCTCCCTTTGTTTGTTCACATTTTAAAACATAACTTCTAAAGAAAGAAAGCTAAAGACATGTGGAAAAGTACATGTTGATCTGCTCGGCATGGCCAGGTGGTTAAGGCACTCGACTCACAATCTGAGGGTCGCGGGTTCGAATCCCTGTTACACCAAACATGCTCGCCCTTTCAGCCGTGGGGGCGTTATAATATGACGGATAATCCCACTATTCGTTGGTAAAAGAGTAGCCCAAGAGCTGGCGGTGGGTGGTGATGACTAGCTGCCTTCCCTCTAGTCTTACACTGCTAAATTAGGGACGGTTAGCGCAGATAGCCCTCGTGTAGCTTTGCGCAAAATTCAAAACAAATAAACATGTTGATCTTAAAACTCTCATGTTTTATTCCCTCTAGACAGTTTTGGTGCAAAACTAAATTAATGGTTTGTCACCAGTGGCACAGTGGTGTGTCTGCAGACTTACAATGCTGGAAACCGAGTTTTGATACCCATGGTGGGCAGAGCACAGATAGTCCATTGTGTAGCTTTGTGCTTAATTACAAACAAACTGACTCAACCAACAGCGCCATCTAATTGACGAATATGACTATATACTTAAAAAAAAACACGTAACACTTATATAGTGTTTAAAATAATTAGGATATTTTAAGCTGTATTCTAAGTTTTAAAGTTACTATTTTTTGTGTCACTTTGGTGTTTTAGTAAATCTACACGAAGGCTATCTGCACTAGCCGACACTAATTTAGCAGTGGGAAGGCAGATAGTCATCGCTAACTCTTAGGCTACTCTTTTACCGACGAATAGTGGGATTGACTGTCACATTATAACGCTCTCACGGCTGAAAGGGTGAGCATGTTTAGTGGGACGGGCATTCGAACCCGCGACCCATAGGCTGCGAGTCGAGCGCCTTAACCACTTGGCTATACCAGGCCCCAAAAGTTCTGAAAATAGTCTTATGACACTCAAAATGATTAAAGGTATGTATACCAACATGGCCTATTTTACATGTTTTTTGTTTTTTTTTCATGAGTCGAAATTATTCAATTTTCATCGGGTCTTAAGTTCCTTTCTTTTATTGGCGTCAAAATATTAAGAGTTATGTTAAATCAGTTGTACTTATGGTAACTATATTATATGTATATCAAAAATGAAAACAAGACTGGTTAATTTTAAAGCATCTCACAATTCAATGATTTAAAAGAACACGCGGTACATTATCATATGGCATACCTCTATTACTTTGAGTTCATGATTTATTAACGAAAAAACTACAGAAACTAAAAAATAAGGATCAAATCTCACTTTATTTATTATTTCTCAGCGGTAAATCTGAGGGTTCACGCCACAAAGAAAAAAACAGCTGGTTTCATTACTCATGGTGAGAAAAGGACATATATATCCCTTTGTGTAGATTTGTGGTAAAAAACAACAACAAAGAAATATTCAGTATTATTTTCAAAAGTCTCGATCAAAAAAAAGTTGTTAAGCAGTATACTGAATTAAAAAACAAGCCGACCCCAGAGGCACAGTGATAAGTTTGCGGACTTATAACTCTATAAATCGGGTTTTGATACCTTTGGTGGTCAAAGCACAGATAGCCTGTTGTGTAGCCTTGTGTTTAACTATAAACAAACAAACAAAAACAAAGACAAGCCTATTCTTTTATATACACTAAACAGTGGAAAAAAAGGAAAACATATAGATAAGTTATTTAACCATCAAGAAAAAGAATGGTCTTGAAAATAAAAAATCTGATATCAAAATTAAGATGCCATATTTACAGCAGGTTTGTCAACGATAAGAATACATCGTATTTGGTCTATTTTTCCTTAACAAATTCCCTTTACTATTTTAGTCCCCCAATAGGACAGCAGTAAATTTACGTCTTACCTTACAACGCTAAAATATGAGTCTCGATTCCCAGTGGTGAACAGAGCGCCGATAGCCTATTGTGTAGTTGTATGCTAAAAACAAACATACAGAGTATTTTTTTAATGTTCACGAATTTATTATATTAAACCTTTAAACACTATGAAGTTTAGAATATGTTCACAGAAAAAAAATGTAAACATTTCTTCATCTGTAATACGTGTTAATCAATTAATCAACAAAGAAGGAGTAATTTGGTTACTTAGTTTGTAATTTAGCACAAAGCTACGCAATGGGCTATCTGTGCTCTGCCCACCACGGGTATCGAAACGCAGATTCTAGCGTTGTAAGTCCGCAGACATACCGCTGTGCCACTGGGGGGCAGTTTGTTTGAATGTTTGTTGTTAAACTCAAATCTACACAATGAGTTATCTGTGCTGTGCTCACCATAGGTATCGAAACCAAATTTTCAGTGTTATAAGCCCTCAGGCTTACTGTTGAACTATTGGAGAGAATTTGTTTTGACACTGTGAATAAAATCATTTTTATTATTTTAGCGACGAACATATGAAATCAATTCTGACAATAAGTGTCAGTTATACGTTAATAGATGGCGCTTACTATTAATTTAGTTCACGCATAGTTCAAGTAAATTTTCAGCATATATATTAGAATTAAAATGGTTAACATTACAATATATGTCATAACATTACGAACTGGTAAAATTTACTGAATAAACTTACTTCAATTTAAAAATAATCGAAGTTCATCCAAGGTTTAATAAAAAATAATAACTTGGTATTATAAATGTTTAGTTCCAGCATTTTTCATCTTCTTTTAAAAACAATGCTATATATGTACTGTATATATAAATAAGTTTGTTTCTTTCATTACTGCCCAGTTCTTTTTATCGTATCTATATCACATCTTACATAAACATAAGAAATGCATCTCATAATTCTGCGATGTAAAATATGGTCAAAATGAACATTCAGTATCATATGGTATTTTAACTGTTACAGCTCTGTTGAAGAAGGTAACTGTTCCTATAATATAAGTACGTTGGGCACTTTGTGTCAACATTAGAGTATTTTTCAACTGAAAAAAAAAACCCATGTGCTTTTGTTAATAAAATTAGACAATGGACTAAATGTTTTTTAAAAACTTTGTAAACAGTTAATTAACCTTATAATCGTAGTAAGACATAAAATCATGATGCCTGAAGACAAAAAATTACAATTATTGTTAGCTGTAAACTGTAAACTCAGAGACACACCTGTAACCAGAATCAAGTAATAGTTTGTTTATATGTTTTAGTGCAGAGCCACAAAATAGAGTATCTACGCTGTGTATACCAAGTATATCGAGCCGTGAATTTTAAAATTTATAAGCCCTGGAGCTTACTGCTGAGCCAGCTGAGCTACCTGAGGATCACATATGATAGTAAAAAAATCATATTTTTCTTACCTTCAAAGAGCACGTATATATGAATAAAATACTTGACCATCTCTCTTCGGTTATCATACCATACATAAGTGTTTGTTTTTTTTTTTTTCCATAATAGTGCACAGTTTCTGCTACCTCCATTAGTTAGGATTATTTTTCTTCAAAATTGTTATGTTTTACAAATCTCTAAGTTTGGACGCCGAGAGTCGCTTAATAATACCTTAGCTTTCCTGTTTTGAGAGCGTAACAGATATGGATTCACTAATTGGCAATTAACCAACCTGGTTGCAGGAAAGAGAGCATGTGACGTCCAGCTGTTTTTCTAGTCGGGTAATTGGATAAGGGTCAGGAGCAGCCATGCCTAGAGCTGAATTACTAATTGTCACAGATCTTGTATGAGAGGTGCGTTCCTTGTGCAAATTTGTCTTTGTTTGTGTATTTTATTTTCTATATAAAGCTGGGTTTATGCCTGTAATACATAGATTTGTTTTTAGATAAAAGTTTACACAGGAGTAGAGGGTTTTCAAGAGTTATTGTAGCAGTTTTAATCAGAGTAACTCTGTAAGGCACAGTGCTAGCCTTTTATTATTTTGATTGCTTGAATTGAGTGAGTTGATTAGTGTTTTGTATTTTAACTTTACCTTTAACTGTCACTTAGACAAGTGAATTGTTTACTTAAACTTTATAGAGAGAGGTTTCAGTATTTGAATTTTGTCGTATTATTTTCTTTAGGTTTTAACGCGCAGCTTTGTAACTTTATTTTAATATTCACTAAGGGTTAATTTTCACTTTGGGCTTAGGGTTTAATTTAACTCACAAGGGAGACCCACCGAACTGATAAATACTTTTAAATAAATACTTCAAATTACTATTATCGGTTCGATACGCACCACTGAACAATTGTTTTTGTTATTGTACTGCTGTTTTTGTGTGTGTAAATAAACATCTGTTCCTCGTATTTTTGTTGGCATCAAGTCTTTTTTCTAGATGATCCCAGTTCTAGTTGGAGAGATCAATACACTTCATAGTCCAGCATTCTCCGAACCTTCAGTTAGCGGGACTAACTGATTTTCCTGAGGGAAAACCCTTTTACATGGAAAATACCACAGTAGGTTAAAAGTATCACAAAACCTTCTATGTTTATTTTCTTTATCACATAGAAAGTCACGGGCAAGATAAAATTATCTGAACGTTTTAGATACATTTTTCTT